GGTTTGAGCGACGGACCGAGGCGCGGGATGAGTGCGGTGGTGCCGAAGGTACCTGGATTGGGACCGGGAATGGGATTGGGATCGGGACAGGGACAGGGAAGGGGAGGGATAGCTTGGTGCTGGGGACAGGAGGAGCGGCCCCAGCGTTTCTGCTGGCAGACCTGACCCGCCCCTGGGACTAGACTGGGAGAAGGGAATGGTGGCAGTCTTGCGGGGGCACGCGTGTGACCTTGGCTTAGTGTCCTGTGTCTCCTGCCCTGATGTTCCTGGACTGGGAGCAGAGACACGCCGCCCACACCTCCCATCCTCAAACAGCCAGGGGTCACCCCAGCGCTATTGCAGTCCTCCATCACGATCCCTTGCAAATCCCTGTCCCTCTGGTCACGCTTTGGAGACACTGGTATTTATCCCCCCTTACTCTGACTGGCAGGATGCAGCTCCTGCCTGGCAGGGCTTAATGACAGCAGTGTTTCCCTGCATCCATGTAGAGCTGGAGCGGGCACAAGGGTTGTCCATAGAGTCATGGAATGTCCTGAGCTGGAAGGAACCCACAAGTATCATCAGTCCAACCCCTGTCCCTACACAGGACACCCCAACAATCCCACCATGTGCCTGAGAGCATTGTCCAAACACTCCTTGAGCTCTGTCAGGCTTGGGGCCGTGACCACTGCCCTGTGGAGCTATTCCAGTGCCCAGCCACCCTCTGGGGGAGGAACCCTTTCCTAAGGTCCAGCCTAACCTCCCCTGACACAACTCCATGCCATTCCCTCAAGTCCTATCCCTGCTGTAACCAGGAGGTGATGGGATGGTGCAAGGGATGATTATGACCCATAACCAAGGGCAGGAGGTCCTTCTACTTCAATTTGTTGCATCCTGAGGGGAAGTGAAGCATGAGGAAGACACCACAGTCATCATCTTCCTCCTCCTTCAGTTTCCTGGGGAGTGGTAGTGGCTGGACTCTGTGAAGGGTTATTTGTGCATTCAGAGACACCTGGATGTGGTTTCAGTGTGTGTTTTGGGACTGAGTTTTCTGGCCCTGGTGGCTTCTTGCAGGTGCTGTGCTCGAGGAATGGAGCATTGCTGAAGCAGGTGTTTGCCCTCAGCAGGTGAGTGCTCTGAACTCAAACTTCCTGAGTAAAACTCTGCACGAGGCATTAAGAACACTTGGTTGGTTCTGAAGAGAGAGTCAGAAAACGTGTTTGGTCAAAAAACCCTCACTTTTTTTGCCGAAAAAAGAGCCAAAGAGCCAGAGGGAAGAGTTTCAGCTGGTGCCTGGGAGCTGAAAGGGCTGTGGGGTGGGAAGAAGGGAAAGGCTTTGTGTGTGTGAGCCCAAAGAACCTTTGGGAAAGGAGATTGGCCACATATGTGGGTGAAATCAGAGCTTTTAATCTTTGTCTTGTTTCCTGCAGAGCAGCAACACCCAGAGAAGACCATCTGTGTGCAGCAGGTAAGGTCTGTTGTTAATCCAATGTGAGTCAAAACTTCACTTCCCTCAAATAAATATTACCCATTGGAGCATTTGTGTTTCCTTCTGGGTTGCTGGTTTTTTCCAGCCAATTTTGGACTGGTTAAATAACCTCAGCAGGTGCCTTTCCCCTTCCATCTCTTTTTTCCCAATATTTTCTCCCTTTTTTCCCTTTTCTTGGCTGAACTGGTGGCACTAGCCACAGTGCTATGCTGCTGGGTGACACCAGCCAGGCACTATTCCCTGTGTCACTGCCCAGGAGCTGCCTTAGCCCCCTGTGAGGTCCCGCTGGGACATTTTCCTTGAGCTACTGTCAGAATTTCCAACAGGATTTGGTTTGGATATGGTGGCAGAGTGGGTCAGGCCTTTGGTGTTCAGTTTCCCTTTGTTGTTCTGAGCTCTATTTATGAAAATGAAAGTTACTGAGGCTTGCATTTTACCCTGCAGAATGAAGTGTAAATAAAAGCTGATGCAGCTATGATTTAGCATATGGATATTTGAAAAGGACTGGATTTAACACTCAGTGAGGCTTGGATCCATCCTGGCATCACTGCTAGCACATCAGAGGAGACAGGCAGAATATTCCATGTCTCCCAACCATCCAGTAATGCTGATGAGTCTCTTTTTCTTTATTTGCGTGAGAATTCACCTGGGAAATTAGGCACTCTTAACCTCTTCTTGCCTCATTTGTGGCTCACCACAACCATCTGTGACTTGACTTTCTGTGGTGCAGAGATCAGCTGGATCCTTAGCTGATCCTTCCAGCAAAGTCCTGAGGGCAAATCCTTGTCCCCCAGTGTGGGTTTGATGCTCTCAAAGCACCTGGAGATGTTTGTGTTCAGCTGGAAGCACATTTGCTTTGCTTTCATTCTAAGGTGATGCACTCCTGAGTTGCCACAGATCCTACAGATCTCGTCCCACCCATGGAATTGGGAGGTATAAGTACCTGCTCCCAAAGGAGGTAAGCAGAACAACTTCCCTCCTGTGCTTGCTCTCAGCTGACCCGTCTTTTACAGTCTGGTTATTTTAATCTTGGTATTTTTAATTCCATGGCTGATGAATCATATTCCAAAGGAATAATGGAATCATTTACTGCTGCTTGTCCTGATGTCACATGTCCTGGAGTGACAGGACAAGGGTGAATGTCTTCCCACTGCCAGAGGACAGGGTTAGATGGGATATTGGGAAGGAATTGTTCCCTGTGAGGGTGGTGAGGCACTGGCACAGGTTGCCCAGAGAAGCTGTGGCTGCTCCATTCCTGGAAGTGTTCCAGGCCAGGCTGGATGGGCCTTGGAGCAATCTGGGCTAGTGAAAGGTGTCCCTGTGTGACTCCTGTGGTGTCAGCAGAACTGAACTGCCCAACCTGAGAACATAGGCTCGGATAATGTCATCCCAGTTTTGTGGGC